CCGCCAGAGCGGAGCCCTCGCAGGCCTCGAGCGCAGCCTGCGCGCCGCCAGCAGCAACTCCAGCCTCCTGCAGCGCCAGCAGCGCCAGCTGCTGGAGTCCGTGCAGCGCCTGGTGCGCGTCGTGGCCCAGGGCCCAGGTGAGCGATGGGGGCGCCCTGGTGCGGGAGAAGCGCGGGAGAAGCGCGGGAGAGGGGAGGGAGACCCCCGCTTCCCCGCCGGGTTCGCTGCGGGGCCTGTAAGCCACCACGGGAAAAGCCCCACCCACCTCCCACCGCATATGAGAGAGAAATAACACAGTAATCATCATGGTGACGACAGCAGGCCTAAGAGGACCAGGAGCTTCCCCCTGACTCCATGAGTGACCTTGAGCTGCCCTTCTATCTCCCTTGGCCTTCGTTTCTCCACCTGTTTAATGGAAGTGGTGACAATAAAGACACCACCAGCCCAGACTGACATGGTCAGATTCCCAGATCCACTCTCCACCCCAACTGGTTTGGCTTTGCCTAACCCGTCCCACCCCAGGCCTCAGTTTCTCTACCTGTAGAATGGAGAGGTTGCACTCAATGCCCCCCAAGGACTTCTCTCACCCTGATGTCTCTGCCTCTAAGCCCAAGAAGGCCAAACAGAAGTGGTGAGGCACCTCTGGCCCCGGCTTCTGAGAAAGGAAGATAATGGCTGGGCCTGGCTCCCCAGCCCTCACTTCTAATGGGACCCACTCCAGGTGGACAAGGCCCTCCCGGTCCAGCTTCAGTCACTTGGTCAACAAGCACTTACTGAGTGAGCACCCACCATGAGCCAGTCCCAGTGCTGGGGGCTGGGGTTACACAGCACAGTTGGAGCCCCTGTCTCTTACAAAAAATACCCAACTCACGTCTGTGGGTCTCTGAGGGAAGGAAGAGGAAATGCCTATTTGTTAAGTGCCTACTCTGTGCCAGATGCCCTGCCAGCAGTGTTCCTGACGATTCCAGACCACAGAAGGCCTAAAAGGCTGTGCATAGCAGAGGGGATTTAAACTGAGGGCAGCCACGGAAGGGTTTTGAACAGCATGGGACTATGTTTTAGAAAGTGTAATTGAAACCAGGGAGGGGAGAATGACTTGGTGAGAGAGAAAGACAGTGAATGAAAAGTGTTCCTACTGCTGCTGGGTCCCCATAGGGGAGGTTGGAAAGCCTTTAAGGCATAAGAAATGACAGTAGTGATGGATTCCAGGCACTGTGGCTGTCAGTGATTTGGGGACAGAGGATGGCACCACGGCTCCATCTAAGTCAGGCAGGCTTGGCCAGGTAGGGGCGTGAGGCCTGAGGTAACTCCAGGTAAGAGAGGTGGTTATCTTCCAAACCGTGAAGTTATGAGTAACCTGAACCCATCACTGGCTTGTGCAGAGCCCTGGGAGTGAGGCTGCCTAAATCAATCCCATGTGTGGGGTTCCTGTAGCTCAGCCAAAGGCACAGGGCCTGGGCCCAACCCCTCTCCCCACAGGCTCACTGCTTACCCTGTCTCCAGCTGTGGCCCAGTGTTTGCTCACCAGTCTGGGTGAGAGGTTGTGTAAGGGTCCTCACCTCAGACACACTTTGCCCAAATGCCTGCCCTTTTGTCCCACTGTCACCAGGGAAAGGCACTATGGGTTATTTCTCCCCACTGTCTAGATGGAGAAACTGGAGGAGGATTAGTCACTAGATATAGATCAGAAGATTGGATGGAGACAGGCCCAGGCACCAGGCATCCATGAAGGCCAGCAGGAAGCCTGCATCCCGTCTCTGCAAAGCTTTGTCCTTGGCAGGTAGAGGCTGGCAAGGGGTGGAGAACTCAAGGTGTTCAGAAGTTAGACAGACGGGGACACAGTTAGAAAAGACCTCACCCGTGCAAGGTATCAGAAGCAGCTTCGTTAACGAGGTCTGTTTGCCCAGCCTTACATAGGCTCAGTGGTGGAGACCCAAGTGGAGGTGGGTAGTAGGAAAGGCAGTGGCTCGCCAGTCAGATGGATCAGAATTCAAGCTCTGTCTCCTTCACTTACTTAACACTGGGACTTTGCACACGTCATTGAATATCTCAGACCCTCAATGGGTGAAGCTGGTGCAAAGATTCGGGGGATTCCAGACTGGGGCCAAATTATGTTGCATGTCGATGCTAGTCCATTCTTGCTCTTAAGCTCCCTGAAAATACTTGTCCTGGCCCCAGACTGCCCCTTGCAGTACCTGGCCAAGAAACACTACAATACATAGTGGATATTTCACTTTTATTGCTACTATTGTTGTTAAGACTATTGTTAACTAAGGAAAACACTAATGAACAGAGCCTTGGGAATCGTGGCTGGAAATCTGAGGCCAACTCTTAGCTCTGTTCCCTTGCCTGGCTGAGAAAGTTGGGCCTCTCCGAGCTCGCCTCTAGGTCAGCACCCTACCAGGCTTGGCTGGACTCCAGTTCTCAGGACTAGGGGGCTGGCAGGTGGGGCCATGGGATCCTGTCCAGGGAATGTTTGTACACAGACTGGTATAGATTTGTCACTTCATTTGTGATCTAGGAACAACAGCATCCTTTCAACAGGGTCCCAGCTCGGGGATTCAGGATCCAGGTTCAAGAGTGAGGCCAAAATAGGAAGTCCCACTCCTTCATAGTTTTCTGGTTTCTCATTGGTGAGAATATCCATCCATCTGGAACTTTATCCTTAGATACCCACCTACCCAAAAACTAGGTTCTGGTGGAATCATAGCCCAAACCTCTAACTGAATCCGACAAAAGGAGCCAGAGAGGGGATTTGAATCCTCTGTAGTTTATTTACCAATAGTCACTTTTTCAGGCTAGGCCTGGAGGCCACTAGGGCCCTGGTGGGATTTAGCCATTAAATTAATATTTTCCCTTAAGGCTCATGGTCAGCATTATGAGGTGACCCACCTCCAAGCCTGCAGGGATATACAACTGGAGGAGTGGGCTGTGGAGGGGCCCCGCGCCTCCTACCCAAGGGAGCTCTAAGGACAAATCCCCCATAAACCTGGAGAGAGAGAAAGCTCTGCCTAGCCTCTCCCACCCTACTCAGCTCTGTGCCCTTGAGCCAGTTACCTCACTCTTGGGCCTCAGCTTCCTGGTCTGTGAAATGGGGAAGTACCTCAGTGGAGTCTAGACCACAATGACCTGTCCTAGAAGACTCTTGCACCTCATCTCTGGTCTCCCTGCTTTGAGTTTCAGCCCCTTCAGTCTCTGTTCTACACTCTGGCCAGAGTACTTTTCCTTGGCACAGTCTGGGCTCCTCGGCCTGGCATTCAAGGCTGACCTGGCCCCTGCTGAAATCCCAGCTTCATCTCTCCTTCCTGATGCGTGTATCTGTGCCAGCCTCTCCCTGCTCCTTTTGGGTCCATCGAACAACCAGACTTCCCTCTGGCCTCAGTTCTGCAATCAGGGTCTGAATCATCTCCGTTCCTGTCCTCAGTCAGTCACCCTCACCACACTCTGTTCCCTGCGAACAGCAGGACTTTTTCCCCCTTGGAGCCTTTGCATGTGCTGTTCCTTTCGCCTGGGATACTCTTTCCTTCTTCAGCTGGGTGCCTCCTGCTCCTCTTCCAGGTCCCAGCTCACTGCCAGCTCCTCTAGGAAGCCTTTCCAGGTCCGATACATCTCCCTGTCCCCAGAACCTCCCAGCCCAGAAGCTGGCACAGAGCAGGCAGTAGTGCTGACCAGGCCCCTTCCCTCTCTCCTTAGCTCACCTCCAATTGTTTTGATTTTGTCCCATTGCAGCCTCCATGAGGGCAGCTGAGCAGGTGTTCCAGGACTGTGCAGAGATCCAGCGCTTCGGGGCCAATGCTAGTGGCATCTACACCATCCATGTGGCCAACATGACAGAGCCCAGAAAGGTTAGAGGGTTCCCTGGGGGGCTGAGGCCAAAGCACCAGAGGGTGCTGAGCTAAAGGCCTTTCAGACAACCCTCCAGTCTCCAGCCCTCCCCCTGCCAGCCCCCGCCCCCGCATCAGCTTCAGACCTTGTCCAACGTCTGAGATTTCGGAGAAGGCGGGGCTGGCTCGACTTTCTGGAGTCCCCACCTAATGAGGGGTCAGATCATGAGGTTAAAGCAGAAGTTCCCAAAGCTGGCAATGCATCCTTCTCTGGCATCTTTACCAGAGATCCTTTTAAGTTGGAATAGTAGGAAATGGTTCTGTGTTGGTTCAGGTAATGCAAGGTGATAAAACAGACAAACCCTGAAATTCCAGAAAAGTTTATTTCTAGTATACATCTTGTCCAGTTGAAGGCAGGTGTGAGAGCTCCCTCCACATGGGAAATTAGGGGCCAGGGCTGATGGAGGCCCCACCATCTTCAATGAGTAGCTCCCAAGGTTGCCCTGAACTCTGAGGTCTGGTTATCAAATGTGCAGGGAGATGGTGGTCAAGGCAAAGTGTGGATGTCAAGAGGGAGGGTTTTCAGGGCCAGGCCCAGAAGCAGAAGAGTTTGGGGAACAACTAACCAGTCTTCCCACTTCATATTCCCTTTCCAATTTTCTTTCAATTCTTCTGAATATATCAAGGAGAATGGCTCAGATTGTAACACTTCTCGCACACCTGCTAATCCCATTTCCTGAGTCTACACTGTGTGCCAAGCACTTTACATTTCTTGGCATTTAATTCTTACAGCAACCCTGCAAGAGTAGCTAGTGAAAAGCCTCCATTTACTTTGTTCCTAGTAGGTGGTGCCAGGCTCTGTTCTTTAGACGAATGACTCATCTCGTTTAATTCTCACAATGATCCCAGTTTGCACATGAGAAACTGAGACACAACAAGGTTAAGGTATTAATATCCTCATTTTACAAATGAGGAAAGGAAGGCTCTGAGAGGGCATCATTTGCCCACCACTTTAGAAAAACGAAGGCAACAGGTGGGGAATTTGGACTTGGATCTTTCTGATGTCTTTGAATACCAGGCTCACCTGTTGCTCTGTGAAGCTCTATCAGCCAAATCACCCTTGGGCTGGCCCAGACCTGGCTTCTGGCTGCCTCCAGGAGCCTCCAACTCCCCAGCTCCCCAATTCCCTCCAGGTGTTCTGTGACATGGAAGCCAATGGAGGTGGGTGGACCCTCATCCAGCGCCGAGAGAATGGCAGTGTGAATTTCCAACGGAACTGGAAGGATTACAAACAGGTAACATTGCTGCCCTGGGGAGGAAAATTTTTTGCCCTGAAAACCAGGACAGGAAGTGGGTTATGGGCAGGGGTCTGATTTGCCCTCAATCCTTTCCAGAAAAAAAAATCAGCACACCTAAAATCAACCATCTTCAAGCAGATTTGCCCAGTGCACATTTGCTGTCAGGACTCCATCACCTGAAATTGAACATTATTTTTGAAAGTTCTGACATATATCTAAGAATGAAAGTTTGATTTTATTTTCATTCAGTTTGGGGAAACACTAACACATATACATTGCTAAAAATTTTTAAAGAATACAAAAAAGGGAACAGAGAAAAGGGATCTCCCCTGCCCGCCTCTGGCTGCATTGCTTAAATGAATGCTCTTGTCTTAGCACACATATGTGACAACATCTGCAGAAGACATTTTTTTTTAATGCAGAATTGCTGGCTCAAAGACCCTATGCATTTTACAAGACAAGAGTGCCTGATTGTCTTCCAATTTTTAATTACATTTTGAATAAAAACTTTTTGGCAGACTGACCTAAAAGCTCTTAAAGTTTTCAAGAGCAAAAGAGATAGGTAAAGATACACAGAAATACAACACAATTTTTTTGTGTCTGCTTGCTGTTCAATACTTAAATACAAATTAAGCTATGAGTGTCCTTTAACCAATTGGGTTTTAAAGAATCATTAAGATGCAAAGAGATATAGGGTGCTCAGAAGCAGAAATATACAAAAGAGAGCTGAATATTAACCATTAAGCTAATCAGTGGTACAGCATGACTAAAATGGGGAGTGGTGGGGGTTGAGGTGTGCCCTGTCCTTGGTGCTGAATTATTGTTCCGGCCAAGGGCGTTGATTTCTTGTCACCCTGGGACATTGGTGAGTCCCAACACTCTTAGCTTTACATTTCTACGTTACTGAAGCCTTGCAGTGGCTGCCATGTTGCTGAACAAAGTTTGCACTACCATTTATGCAGCTGATTCAAGTTTTCATTTTTTAAGTTGAAATTTAATATATGTGCAGCTGACTATGCAAATCTTAAGTGTAAAACTCAGTGAATTTTTACGTATGCATTCACCCACGTGACCACCACTCAAAGCTAGATATACAACACCTCCAGCACCCCAAAAGTCCTCCTTGTTTCCCCTCCAAGTCAGTACTCCGCTAAAGGTCATTGCTATTCTGACATCTATCACCACAGATTTGTTTTGCCTTATTCTTGAGCTTCATAGAAATGTGATTTCAATTATTTTTAACAGGCTTTTATATTTACAAAAGTCTTAGCCTTTTTGCTCTAGGAGGTGAGGTGCTCCCACCCCTAGGCCTGCCCTCACTGTACTTTATGAACTTGGTCATTAGGCAAAATGGTTTGGGGTAAGTGTCCCTGGAGCCTGACTCAACCCAACTCCTTAACCAGAGGCATAGCCTCCTCCTTGGCATGCAGCCTACCCCCATTCTCCCCTTCCCTAGGGCTTTGGCAACCCAGCCGGGGAGCACTGGCTAGGCAATGAGGTGGTGCACCAGCTCACCAACAAGGCAGCCTACTCTCTGCGCGTGGAGCTGCAAGACTGGGATGGCAACGAGGCCTACGCCCAGTATGAGCATTTCCAGCTGGGCAGCGAGGGGCAGCTGTACAGGTGGGCTTGGGGCCCAGGCTGGTGGGTGGGCTGGGGTGCCTGGGCTAGTGGCCACAGAGTCTGCACCAGGGGTCAGTCCCTGGGCGTCTCCTGTTTCGCCATCTGTCCCCCATTTGGGTGCACGTCACAGGATCTGGAGGCAGCTGGTTAGCACTCAGCACATCCCGGCCACTGGGTAGGGTAGAGAGAATGTCACAGATGCTGCCATCCCGGGAGCAGGAAGGGGCTTTCAAAGGTCAGTCACCCCAAGTGGGTCATTTTACAAAGGCCCAGAAGCGGGGAGGTGACTTTCCCAGCCTGTCCGATGCTGTGGAGTGAGGCAGAAACGTCCCAGGGCTGGCAACTGGGGGACCCAGGATCATTCTGATTCTGCTCCCACTCGCTTTGTAAACTCAGGCGAGTCAGGTGGGCTTCTCTGTACCTCTGCTTCTTAACTGCAGGATGAGCTTAAATACAGCATATTATAAAATCATCAGGGTGTCCCATCCCTCCCTCAGCCTGGTTCTTGGCTCTGTTTAGGAAAAGGAATGAGCATTTATTGAGCATCTACTGTGTTCCAGGCACATGACTCCATTTAATCCTCCTCACAGCCTTCTGAGGTAAGCATTGCTGGACCTGTATTAGCCATGTGGAAACCGAGACACAAAGCACAGAGCTTAAGTCCCCTGCCTGAAGTTACAAGTTAGGTAGGGCCTGGTTTTGAACTCAGTTTTGCTGCCAAAAACTCATGGTGTTTCTCCTACATGAAGTTGCCTCTCTGAGAAACTCAAGGACTTGAAGATAAGCTATCTTGGAGCCAGGACAGAATTGAATTCATAGGCTCATGCTCCAGGATCTCAAAGGACCTAATATGTTATCTGGTTCTTCATGTGATGCTAGAATCTCCTCCACAGCCACAGTCATCATCCAGCCATGCTGGAATGCCTCCACTGATGGGGAGGTCACCTCTTCCCAAAGAATCTCTGATGACTCTCTGTCCCCCTGCACTGTATGCCTAACTCTACATCTGAGGGCCTCAGGTGATGTGCCCCCAACTCTTCTCCTCTGTTATATGCCCTGGTTCCTCTAGCTATGTGGTTCTGACATCCTTCCTTATGGGACCCACCCAAATCTGATAATATTCCTCTTTAAAGTGGAGGTCCAGAGATGAATGAAATGTCCCTGATTTAGGCTAGGCAGGGCTGAGGTGGAGACCCACCCGACTCCTCAAACTGATCAGTGAGTAGCCACAACACCCTGCTGACTCCTATTTTTTAAGCCACTGACCACCAGAGCCAAAGCTTAAGTCCTAACTGCGTCCCTATCTCCCTGAGTGACTCTGAGCAAGTCCCTTCACCTTCTCACCTGCAAAATGGGTGTCCTGGCTGTACCCACCTCATTCGAAGTGTTGTGAAGCTTGAATGAGATATTACACATACAGCATTAATGGTGGCACTTAGTAAATATCCAGCAAATAACATAATTACTGTCCCTGAGCCAGCTCTTCACACACTTGGCTGGCCTACTCTGTGTGAGTTCACTGCTGTTCCCATCCCTAGTGCCTGGGACATGGTAAGTGCATCACGGGAAGCTAGGGGAGCCTCCCAAGTCTTTCCTACACACAAAACAGTTAAGCCTCATCTCCATGACCCAATTCTTGGGTGGCAGCTTCTGGGACCCTAAGTCCAGGATCTGCCATTTTTCTTGGGAAAGAAGGATCAGGAAAAGCATCTCATGGCACTAAAGCACATGGCCCTGGATCCAGACTGCCGAGGTATGACTCCTGACCTTATGACCTGTGGGATTCTTGACCTTAGAAAAAGACCTTAGAGTTAGTTAACCTCCCTGTGCCTCAGTTTCCTCATCAATAAAACATAATATCTATGTCAAAATTGACATAATCTTTGGAAAAATACCTAGCATATGGTTAAAATTAAATAAATGTTGGAGATATACAAACAATATATTCAAAGACAGAAATATAATATTCCTGCATCTATGTATATCTCTGTTATATATGTCCATTTATACAAACATATACATGTATGTTAACTTTAGAATCCCTTGCCTTGCTCTCCTATGTGAATTTCACACACTGCCTCTGGCTTTTTATCTGAGCCATGGAGAGCTCCCTGCCCATGATTCCGGACTGTTATGCGCAGGCCTCAAGGGATCCACAACTACTTGACCTTCTGCAGAGCCCTAAATAATAACAGTATACTGAACACTTGCCCTGTGCCAGGCATGGGCTGGCTCTGTTCATTTGGGAAAGAATTAGACCTGCTCTCTACCCCTCAAAGTTGTTCATCATCCAGTGTGTCCTGTCTGTCTGGGGGTATGTCTCCAGTAATCCCACACCCCCAGGAAGATGGGAGCTGCCTAAGAGGAAAGCAGAGGGGCACAGAGATGCTTGTGCAATCAGAGAGGGCTCCCTGGAAGAGGTGATGAAGAGTAGGCATTCTACAGACAGAGAAGATAGGGAGGACATCCCAGGCAGCAGGTATGTTCTGGAAAAAGGCAGAGAGTTGATATCCAGCTGACTACAGAATCCCCAAACCTGAGCAAGGCTCTTTCCAGGGCTGCTGGGATTATAAGGAAGAGACCCTGCTCTTTCAGGAAAAGCTTGGAAGATCCTGGAAAACACGGGGCAGGGCTGGAAACTGCCAGAGAAGGATCAAGGGGAGAGTGACAGAAGCAGATGCTGGTCCTTGCACCCCCACCATACAGAGTGGTGAGTGCCTGGTGAGGTGGGGAGGATCCGCATAGGAAGCCCAGAGGCAGCGAGACATGGCGGTCAGCAGCTGGGCATGGGCATCAGAGTGGGCGGGGCACCTTGATTTTCAGACCCAAGGATGGGGGACCTCTGGAGCCCAGCTGGGGTACATGCATAAGCCTGCAGAGAGGTGGTCCATGGGGAGGGGTGGAAGAGGCACAGACAAGGGACAGGCCTTGTGTGTAGTGACACAAGCAGACACACACCACCCAGACATGTGTGCAGAAGTGCCTCAGAGAAGCCCTCGAGGTAAACATACACAATCCCAGGCACAAAGACAGATTCCAGAGCACACACTCAGACTCACCGTAGATGCTGCAGCACAAACTCGAAGCATGTGCACACATTACACACGCTGGCACAAAGACTCGTATTGAAACGCTCGCTACTACAGACACACAGACTCCTGCACAGATCCATGGACTCATGGAAAACACACCTGGGTGTCTGACTTAGGGATGCTCAGAGACTCGTGTGCAGTTTGGGTTCCCCAGGCCTGAGCCATGCATCTGATCAAAGTGCATCTGAACAATGAGTCAAGTGGGATTTCCCAGCCCATGACTTGAGGGTCCCAGAGATCATAGGTCCCCATTCCAGCTCCCAGAGGGGAGGGGAAGAGAGACAGAGACCATGGGTGGGAGGTGCAGGGACTGAGCTAGGCCATATGTTCAGGCCCCATGTTCCTTCTGGATCCCTCTGGGAACATCTCCCAGGCCTTGCCCCGGGGAACCAGAGCTTCCCTGAGCTGCCTGGCCTGGCTGCATCTGGTGTTCACTTGCCTTTACCTGTAGGATTTTTTTTTTAATGGAAGTACTAGGGATTGAACCCAGAACCATGTGCATGTGCTCTACCACTGAGCTATACTCCCCACTCCCCTGCCTACAAGACCTTCTTGATTGCTCCCAAATGGGCTCCTACCTTGACTGCCAGAGCAGCCCCTCCCCTGCTCCAAGCACCCAACACTCTCTCCAGCCAGGATCAGTGGGAGCCTGTGCCAGCCACGTGCCACAGGGTGGGAACACAGGAGTAGGACAAATAACAAGCACTGAATGCACTGGGCACTTACCGTGTGCCAGCACTACTCTGCGCTCATCACACGCTGAGGTCATCCAATCACAATGACCGAATGAGGGCATCACTGTTAATATACTATTACCATTTGAACAGATGAAGAAACTGAAGCTGCGCTGCAAAGCAATCTGCCCGAGGCCACGCCGCTGATAAGCGGCAGAGCTGGGATTTGAATCCAGGCATTTTGCCTCCAGAGCTCACGGTCCTAATCACCACACAACCACCATGGCCTCATAGCTTGACAAGGAAATCTAAACCTTCCCCAACCAGCTGCAGAGGTGGAAGTCACGAGGCTGGGGGTGCCTCAGGGCTCCGATCCATGTGGGCTAATGTAGTAAAGGAAGGCTTCCTGGAGGAGGTGGGTGGACATGAGGAGGTGTGATGGGGCTGGCTGTAGGATGGTCAGCTGGGAAGGAAAATGCGCACAGCTTCTGAGTCAGACCAGACAGGACTGGGATCTGGCTCTCATCCCCATTCGTTCTGAGACCTCGGGCAGGCTCCTGTGGCTCCTGGGACCTCTATTTCCTCTTCTGTAAAGTGGAAGTCATAGGGTATGGTGAGGATTAAATGAGAATGAGTTAATCCATGGAAAGCACTTTAAACAATGCCTGGCACATAGTAGATCTTCAAAAAAAAAATAACGTTAGCCATTGTCCTCATTATTATTATTATTATCATGATCATTCTCACAACTGTCCAAGACTTGGATTCGGCGAGCTGAGGGAGGCTTGGCACATGGTGGGTGCTCTGTCCCTGGGAAGCAGCAGACTGGGGGGCAATCCAGGAGGGGAGACGGCTCAGCACCCCAGGCTGGGGCTCCCCTTCCCAGAAGAACTGGAAGGGAGCCGCTTCCTCAAACAGCCCCGACCTGACTCTGGGCCCCTGTCCCATCACCACCTCCGGGTGGCCTCCAGGCTTTCTCTGAGCGGGTACAGCGGCTCGGCGGGGCGCCAGAGCAGCCTGGTCCTGCAGGGCACCAACTTCAGCACCCGAGACGCAGACAACGACAACTGCCTCTGCAAGTGCGCCCAGATGCTGTCCGGAGGTGGGTGGGCGGCAGGGTGAGGCCCCACCTCCCCACAGGTTCACCTGGCTAGACACCCCTGTTCCCTCCCTACTCAGGTCCTCATGCAGCCAGATGCCGTCAGGAAGTGGGTGCAGATTGGGGTCTCACCTGCCCACAGGCTGGTCTGGCTGTGCCTCATCCACATCAGGTCCTTGAGGTGCCTTCCAGGGTCTCACCTCCTCCTAAAGCTGCCACCACCAGGTCTCCTCTGAGACCAGACTAGAGGAGCACTGAAGGTGGGGCCCAGGGTGCAACCTAAGGAGACATAGTGCCTGATCAGTCCCAACCCCAGGCCTGACACTTCCTCCCCACCCCCTACACCCCAAGCCAAGCAGGAACAGGATGAGGAAGACCTGGGTGTGGGGCAGAGGGGCAAATGCCCACCAACACTGGCTCAGGTAGTGTTTTTTGCAAGGAGAGGGGTCAGAGAAGGGGAGATGGGGATGAGTGGGAGACAGAGACAGAATGGGAGGGACAGAGATGGGAGGAGACCTCCGGAGACACAGTGACGGGGACAGATGGAGGCGAGAGAGACACCAGGAGTGACAGACAGAGCGATGGACACAGAGCTACACAGGGACAGAAGTGCAGAGGGAAAGATGGAGAGAGATGCAGACCACGGAAACACAGGTGGACACAGTATGTGAAAGAGAGACCAGAAAGGCAGGGCAACGGAGAACAAAGAGAGACAGAGACATCAGAGAAAGACACTCAGAGAGACAGACACAAGCACGGAGCTCATCAGAACGCTGCCCTCCAGAGACCCCAGGCTGAACAGAGGGTCTGGGAGCTTCCCTCCCTCCCTCCAGGCCTGGTCCCACCCAGGCCCATCTCCAGCTAGCTGGCTTCCCAGAGAAGCCAACAGCCCTGATTAAATCTTTGGGGTAGGGGGCTGCCCTCACCTCACTGGCTGGGCCCCCGCCTCCCCAAAGCCTCTTTCTCCTCCTTCACCAGGGTGGTGGTTTGACGCCTGCGGCCTCTCAAACCTCAACGGTATCTACTACCCGGCTCGCCACCACGTGCGCAAGCTCAACGGCATCCGCTGGCACTACTTCCAGGGCCCCAGCTACTCGCTGCGCGCCACTCGCATGATGGTGCGTCCCACGGGCATCTAAGGAGCGGCGGCGCCTGGAGGCTGGACTCTCAAGAGGACCTGGACACGGTATCGTCTGGACAAGACAGACCCAAATACAGGACACAGTGCCAGGACCTTGTCCTGAACACCCTGGCTCCCCTGAGCCAGCCCTCCTTGCCCCAGGAGTCCGGGAGAGTCACCTGCCTCCCTATTCCCCTCAAGTTGTGAAACGGCAGGTGTTGGGGGGGGTTCCTGCCTCTATAGTATCCCTCTTGCCCCTTCCCTCCTGTCTCCTGCAGGGACCTCCTGCCAGCTTGAGGGTTGCAGTACCCTGAATGAGCTGAGAACAGACTTAACTGGGCTCCGCGAAGGAATACATGACTTGTGATGGAATTTCAGGCAGGTGGGAAGGCATTTATGGGCATGAAACTACCCAGATGTAGGCCCAGATTCTGTCCCCCTTTTGTTGGGCAGGCCATCTTGTGTTTCAACCTTTCTCAGCTTTGAGAGGTCCTTGGACTTTCTCTTCGAGACTGAAGGAGCTGCATCCACCCCACAATGGGAATCATTATTTCCACCCTCACTGTCTGCCAGTCCCTGGCGCCAGCGTCTAAAGCTCAGACCTGGTTCCTCAGGGGCTCCAAGAGATCTAAGAGGGATTCCTTTACCCCCCAGAATGTCCTAGAATGTGTTCCAGACAGAATAACTAGATCTCCCCTCTAAAAGTACCCAGGGTCAAGGGAGGGAAACACCAGGTTAATCAATGTGAACAGGCATTCTCAGCTGCAAGACTTGTCAGAGCCATTAATGTGGTCATGTGCTTTGTGACTTACCCATGAAGGGGCTAGAGTGGGCAGCTTTCCCCAGCTTTGCTTATTTGAAAATGGGGGCTGTTTATCCCAGAGTATCTCTCAGGGCTGTGGATACCCTTGGAAATAGCTAGTCCTCGCGTGTCATGAGCTGGAACCCCGGGTTCACATCCCCACCCACAGCTGCACTCACCATTTCTAGCTGCAATGGCCACGGTGATGTTCTCAAACAGCCTCTAAAAACAACTGGAAGAAATCTTTGGGTTAAAGCAGACACACATCATCCCTGAAGAAGGGTCTAGAACTAAGTTTCCTGTCTGTGCTAGGGGCTGTTGTCCTCCAAGGCTCCTCTAGCCCCAGGAAGCCAGATCTCTGCCTGGGGTCTGCCCTCAGCACTTCCTCGAACTTCCTGAGTCCCAGCTCAAGTTCAAGGACTGTTGGGGACATCCACTCTGCCTTGAGCAGGACGCCAATCCCTGGGTCCAGATCCTTCCTGTCTCCAGGCTAGAACCCCTAACGTGCTCCTGCCTCACCCAACAGTGATGCTATAGCTGAGGTCCACGGAGACTGGGCCTTTGCTGAGTCTGGGAAACCAGGGGCTCCTCACGAGCTTCCTTCAGATGATAGGGGCAGAGAGGAACCACACAGCCACGCTGCCACCCACTTCCATTACTGTGTCACCCTCCTCAGTCCTGGTGAGGCCACCATAGTCCTGTCACCTTCAGCCAACACACGGGCCCAGCCAGGACCGACTTGCCCCACCACCAGGATGTGCCTCTCTATTAAGAACACTTTCTCCTGGATAAGGCTATGGGGTGGAAATGAGGCACATTTGTCCTGACTGGCTCTGCCCGAGCCCCTGAGTAAACCTAGCACAGATTAACGCTGACCTCCTTCTGGGAAACCAAAGGATGTGACTGCTGTTGGTGACATTTCAGGTAGGAGGGAAAAATACTTAGGGGCAGGTTGCTACCCAAAAGGCTGATAAGGCTTTACCCAGCATTTGCTGGGTGGGCCTTTATTTAGCATCTACTGTGTGCAGTGTGATGCTGTAGGCAGGACTTTGAAGTCAAACAGACCTGCTCCAGCTCTTGAACTTGAAGCCTGGGGCTCAGCCTCTCAAGGCCTCAATTGTCTTATCTGTCGAATGGAGACAGTGGTACGCCCCCGTTGCTGCACTGGGCCAAGGAGGAAGTGAGACCATGCATTTCACCTTCTTAGCAGAGCCTGGCATGAAGCAGATGCCTAATAAATGTTACTTCCCTAAGGGGTGAATGGGGTGGAGAAGTTGGCCCCCTAGTACAGGCCAGCCCTTCTCCTGGACCCAGGGGAGGTAAGCGTTTTATTTTGGCAAACATCTACAGTATTTATTTTTGTACTGCAAGTATACAGAGCAGCGCTGTGAGCGCCAGGGACAGAACTCCTCTGGGTGGGGTGAAGGCCCCAATCCGTCTCTGCACCCCCATTGTCTACAAAGGCCAAGAAGCTGATTTGGGTGACCCTCACACACCTGTTCTTAAAAATATTCATCCTTCCATCTTACTTTCCCTCCTTCTCCATGCCAGGACTCTCAAATGCAAGGGATAGAAACCTTACCCTAAGGAATGGATTGATTCATGTACAGGAAGTCTAGGGGTGGTTTCAGGTGTGGTTAGATCCAGGTCCTCAAATGATGTGGCCCTCCCCACCTCTCAGCCCTGCTATCCATCATGTTGACCTCATTCTCCATCAGGTTCTCTGCCAACAGATGGTTCTAGCAGCCCCAGGCTCATGTCCTGCCTGCTCAGCATCCCTAAGACAGAAAGCTTCTTTGTCCCAGTGATTCCATCAAAGGCATGATTCTTTCCAGCCAGGATTGGTCCTGTGTCCATCCCTGTGCTTATCACTGTGATTCTGGTTGACCAGGCAAGAACAAGTGTTCACTTTTTCTCCTTCCGTCTCTCTTATGTCTATCTCTGCCCTCCTCCCAGCCTCCCTGCTCCGGAGGCCTGGCCCTAGGCTCCAGCTATTTCCTAGCTTGCCCCAGACTATCAAGGACACCACTGTGTCATGCCCAGAGATGTCAGACCAATTCATAGTCCGAGCTCTGTCCCTGGGATAGAGCCTCTGGCCCCCTCTAAGCCTCCATTTCCCATCTGTAAAATAAGGACGGAGCACCTGCAGACTCTAAAAGACAGCGACGCTGACTCACGATGGCTGCAGACACAGCTAAAGGATTCTGGGTGCACAGGGCCCTAGGAAGCATGGCTGGTGTGGCCTTGGCCCTGGCTGGTTCTCCTGGAGGCCACCACTTGCAGGAACTGGCTTCTGGGGTACCTGCATCTGCAGGTTCCTATGTAGAATACTTGTCACCTCTCCCTGCATCAGACCAGTGTTCTCATTTTAGTGATGAAGAAATTAGAGATCAGAGAGGGAAAGGGTTTCATCCAAGCAGCACAGCCAATTAGCATCTCCAGTGCACTTACATCTATCAGCTGCCTCCCTTGTCCACAGCTTTTTGGAGGCATCTTGGCACTGACCACAAAAATGCTGGAGTGCTGTCCCCTCCATTTATATCTAGGGCTGAAGGAACTTTCTGGAAAGTTTCCCAAGGCCAATCTGTCTTTCCCACTGGCACTTGGTAGGTCTCAATTGGAGCCAGGCAGGCAGAACACATTGTTCTCAAGATCTCTGCATGTTCCCAGAAAAGAAAATTTCTACTCTGGTGGGGAGAACTCACTGTGCACACCCCAGAAACAACAACCCAACAATAGGGTGGGAGGTGGCCCTTTGTAGAGGGTAGGGCAACCACCAGCATTAGGTTGGTTTGTCTTGGTGGCAAGGGGATTTGACACCTTTTCCAGACTTTCCTGCCCCTCAGTATCCATGTGGGCCTTAACCTCTCCCATTAAAGATGCTTCAGAAAGCTAACAGGTTGCCTTGGCAACAAAAGCATCAGCATATTTTGATGGACCATCCCTATGGAGAATGGAGTCTGGTCCTCCACGTCCAGCAAAAATATTACTTTCTTTTGTTTACGTGGGATGGCACTGCTGAGGGCATGTGTCCTGTAAGCTGATGTGTATGTCCTGAGCGTGGGGGAATCCAGTGGCCTTTAGCATCCAATATATTCCTGCCTTCTCCTGTGAGACCTCTCTGAGCCTCACTTCCCCATCTGCACAATGGGGAGATTGAGAGCTAGTCATGGAGAAGTCACGCAAGTTCAATGCAGTGGTAGACCCAGGCCTGGCATATTCACATATTTATTCGTTCATAAACGTATTTATTCATTCACATCGCAAGGGTGTACTGAGGACCTGCTGAGTGATCTGGAGGGAACAGCAAACAAGACAGACAGAAGACCACAGTTCTGAAATCAAAGTGCTTAACAGGCTAGAAGGAGACACTCACTAAAATCAAATTTTTAAAAAATTTTAACTAAATTGACTAATTAATTAATATATTATAAATGAAGAAAATAAACAGGAGGTACAGATAAAAGATTTCAGAGGGTCCAACTAAGCAGGGTGATCAGGGACAGCCTCTCTGAAGAGGGACACTCAAGTTGAGGACTAAAGATGAGAAAGGGGCAGCCAGGTGAGGAGCTGTGGGAATAGTATGTCCATTAGAGGGAACAGTAAGTGCAAAGGCCCTGAGGTGGTTGCAAGGAACTAGAAGGTGGCCAGAGTGGCTGGAGCACAGTGAGCCAGGGAGAGAGTGGTGGGAGGTGTCCGTAAGCACCTCTGTCAGTGATGAGCTTTCCCCCAGTGCCTATCAAGGACTGGAGCCAGCATCACTCTGCCTGAGTTGCTGTGGAGCTGGGGCAAGTTCCTGCCTTCTCTGGACCTCAGTTTCCCAATCTGTAAAGTGCAAGAGAGGGATCACCACCTTCTGAAAGTCATCCAGATCCAGTTATGGTATAAATATGGGTCAAGAGCCTATTGTGTCCACTGCCTCTGAGCTCTGGGCCACCAAGGGAGTTAGAAGGCGGAAGAGAAAATAAAAAACTTGCCCTCGGGCCAAGTGGGAGTTAGCAGTGTCTCCTCCACCAGGTCAGCCTGGGGGCTTGGGCAGGATAGCGGGGATTCACTGCATGCCCCCTCTG